ACATTGGGAGTGGCTAAGTGAACATTGGGAGCGGCTAACTGAACGTTGGGAGCGGCTAACTGAACACTGGGAGCGACTTACTGAATGTTAGGAGTAGCAAACTGAATATTGGGAGTGACTAACCCGCCCAATATTCAGTTTGCCACTCCCAGCAGTTAGACACTTCCGGCACTCAGTTACCGAGTGTCAACATCCAGTTAACCTGTTCCAATCCTCATCTAGTCTGTCCTACTATTGATTGAGCCGGTCCCAGTATTCACTAGCCAGTAGTAACAGAATTCACTGGGCGATATTGTTAACATTCTACCCCACCGCAAACTTTATAACATTGCAACAAGTATGAAGAAATCCTCGCCCAGAATTTATTCCCTTGACTTATTCATGTTAAAAGTTTTCAGAACATTTGCTGGGTTGGCTATCGTTGCTGGTTTTTCCCACACAGGATGCCAGCAGAAAATTTGATAACCCCTGAGAATTTGATAATCCCTGAGAAATTTAGCTTCTCTTCATGGGTGACAAAACAACGTGACAAAGCTCAGACATTCCGTTCAACATGTAAGGAGATTAGAACTGGGGCACCCGTAACGATCATGCTAGCCTGTGTGGGTACAGTTGGTAAACTGAGCTCTCTGAACATAGTTTTAATTTGTTAACTCATTTATCTTAATCTTCTTCTTTCCGTTCCCCCTGCCAGTTGTTTTTGGATAAGAAGACCACATACCTCTCTGAAGTCTGTGGTGCGACGCATCTCTTCCCATCCACTCCATGTAGCTTGATTTCCATTGGAATGCCAATCGACCAAACCTCGGATCGTTCTACTCCATGTAGAGACCATATCTGTAACACATATTCCCTAGTTGTAAAGTAAATGTAAATGTAGTACCCTTTTCACGCGAACGCGCTTCGTAATGCCGTGTTGCTGGGTTTGATCCCAGCTGCGGACAATTTGTTTTGCGTTGGTTTCGACAATGGTACCGAGAGCTGACAGTTCAAAAGCAATGACAAACTATTGAACGTAAAATTTGCCTAGAAAAACCACAACAGTCAAAAAATGTTGGTTCTGCAACGTCATGTAAAGGATACGGAAATAACATATTATGCAAGACATATATTTTGTACTGACTAATCGGAATTAGATGGTCGTTATGGATAACCACCACCTGCTGCCTTTACTTTTCAGGACTTAACCTCGATACCAATTTTAGACCGTTTCTTCTTCTTAGTGTTTACCGTCTGGATTCTCCAGCGGAAACTTCAAGTTGTTCGTCCACCTTTAGACTTTAGTCTTGTTCCAGAACCTGAATGCCACTTGCGCATCCTTTTTACAGAACTGTCTTACCCGTATGCAGACTATTGGTTCCTTGCCTCTCAGGCAGATGCACTCTGACTTTGAAGAAGCCCACAGTTAGTGGACTCCTACGACATGCTTGTGTGTTATCATAGTCGACGTCATTGCACATAATACACTCCCATGTTGCCGCTGTCAACATCCAGTCCGCCAGTTTGAACACGTCAACATTCAGTCAGCCACCCTTAACATTCAGTCCGCCAGTGTCAGCCTTCATTTTGCCACTCCCAACGCTGAGTTAGCACTCACAGTATTTAGTTAGTCAATCCCAATGTTCAGTTAGCCGCTCCCAATGTTCAGTTAGCCGCTCCCAATGTTCAGTCAGCCGCACCCAACACTGAGTCTGCCAGGATCAGCATTTAGTTAACAACGCCCAGTATTCAATAAGTCACGCCCAATATTTAGTTTGCCACTCCCAACATTCAGTAAGTCGCTTCAAGTGTTCAGTTAGCCGCTCCCAACGTTCAGTTAGCCACACCCAACGTTCAGTTAGCCGCTCCCAATGTTCAGTTAGCCGTTCCCAATGTTCACTTAACCGCTCCCAATGTTCACTTAACCGCTCCCAATGTTCAGTTAGCCGCTCCCAATGTTCACTCAACTGCTCCCAATGTTGGGTTAGCCACTCCCAACGTTCAGTTAGCCGCTCCCAATGTTCAGTTAGCCACGCCCAGCATTCAGTTTGCCACTTCCGGCACTCAGTTACCGAGTGTCAACATCCAGTTAACCTGTTCCAATCCTCATCTAGTCTGTCCTACTATTGATTGAGCCGGTCCCAGTATTCACTAGCCAGTAGTAACAGAATTCACTGGGCGATATTGTTAACATTCTACCCCACCGCAAACTTTATAACATTGCAACAAGTATGAAGAAATCCTCGCCCAGAATTTATTCCCTTGACTTATTCATGTTAA